TTACCCTGAGGGAGGGATTCGGCTACCGACCTGTCATAATAGCTACTATTTCACTGCCTTTAAGAGTAAGAAGGCAGAAGAAAGACCCACAGAGAAGGGGAAAAAAGATGGCAGCGCTATGCCGTTATCTGGCTGCCTGCCTGCCGCAAGAAAGGAAAGAGACACTCTTGCGAGCGTACGCCTGTTACTCCCGACGTCGGTATCGTTTGCCCCGCCGGGAGGCACCGTACATGGGCTGCGGGTAACTCAACACCGACCTCCTCCCTATGAAATAATGATTTGTTAAAGCCGTCATGCTTCGGTTTCTAACAGAAAGGGATCTTTTTTTCCTCTCTTTCTTCTCGAGGGGAAAGCGTGTAAAGAATAGGAGAGAAAATAATTTATTGCCAACTGCTGCACGGTTGTCGTTTCAGTGCTCGCTGGCACACGGCCGGCTGCTATGGCTTAAGCTTCAATCAATAGGATTTCTGCTGAAATGTTTTCCTCTCTTGCCCCGCATCATCGTGCACAATGGAATCGACGACATGCCTCCCAGCGCATGGGTTTCTTTAATAAAGCATCTCGACCAGATCGCCAGATGAAAAGGAGTGTAACAATATGAGAGTAAAGGCAAACTCTCTCTGATCTCCTACCCTCTGGGTCATTGAGCCAAGTCCTACAAAAATCCAAAAAATACATCACTAAAACATGCCCCTCAGCACACTCACAATCATGTACAATCCCTCTCCCACACACACACGCACACATACACACACACACCCACGCATGCCTCACCATACCCTCAACACAAGCTTAAAGATTTGCCCTTCGTTCTAGATTTTGTCATCGCCGTCTTCATGTTCCACATTGCTTTATAATTGGTGCTTGGCAAATAATAGCTTTTCAGCTGATTATGCCTGGAAGTGAAATAGCTCTTTACAATGTACATCCCCGAGCAACAATCACATCAATTGGGCCTTGATTAGAACAGCACAAAAGAATTCTTTTTTTAGCCAACGTTGGATGGAAATATTTTGATGAATGGCTTTGGATTCATCTTTTCACGAGAACTAGAGTGATGGCATGAAAGACAGCAGATTCTAAGTGAAATTATCCGCAACCTTCATCTTAACCTGGAGGGGAAAGGAATGACAACATGCCAGTCTTATTTATAATCTAATCAATTGAAACACACACAGTACTACTTCTTTTTTCAATTAAAAAGAATGATGCCTACAAAAAAGGGCATTATTCCTTTATTCCCTGGCTACAAGTAAATATTATTACTAATTACGAGGTGAGACAAAAATCTCTTTATGTACAGCATTGAGTGACACATATACAGTACATACATCATTTAGAGCTAAAATGAACCAAAATTGGGAATAAAGACAGAAGGGTGTTAAACTCATATCTTTTTGCAATCTTCAGGCTCCAAAATAGAAGAGATAATTATTATGTCAAAAGACAACCCTTCATTACAAACTGACAAGGCTTTCTAATGATTCACCTCTGACTAGTACTGTTTTCACACTGGCAATATTTTTCTTAACCCCGTACTATAGGTGGGGTTAAGGGGGGGGGGGGGGTCTTAGCCCCACCTATAGTACCGGGTTAAGCCTATTCCACTTTCTGTTCAGACTGGTTTTTACCAAAGTGGGCTAAAGTTGGCTAACCCCACCTATAGTACAGGGTTAACTAACCCTGCAAAATAGCAGGACTAACTCCGCAATTGTGGTGCTAACTCCTGCTAACCCCGCAATTGCGGTGCTAAGCAAAATGAATGAGAACAGAAACGAAAAATAGTCCGGTACTACGCAATGGAGCGTATCGCAGCTGGCCAGATGCGAAGTATGTCCAATCATAACATTCACGATATCCGGGGTTAACAAAATGCAGTGAGAACAGCGGGAATTTTATTATTCCGGAATAGGCGCTAGTACGGGACTAAAAACAGCGTGTGTGAAAAGCCAAAAAAAATTGTCCGGGGTTAAGGATAGTACGGGGCTAAGCAAAGTACGGGGTTAAGCAAAACCAGTGTGAAAAGAGTACTAGTGGACCTGTCCAAGTGTCAAAAGCACTGCAAATCCATTTCCCAAGGTAACAGGGCAATTAAATATGTCCAAAATAGGTCGCAATTCAATATTCCCTAGAGACTATTTTCCTATCCCAACTTTCCTCTTCCCCTTGCAAAATCAACTTAATTTGCCGAATACCCGCTGCAAGGCTGCCCAATACATCTATGGTCGGATCGAGGCTGCCTGCAAAGGTTGCCGGTGCTTGAATGGAAATTGGCAGAGAAATGGTACACGGAATCGATTCTAATCAATACCTGGTATTTGATTCCTGGCTTGCTTGATTTCCATGATTTCATGCTTTACCAAGACAGACTCGATCTGTGAGGAGTAGCAGGGGTGGGGTATGTCTACAAAGGGATGGGGGGGGGGGGGATATGTGCTATGCAAATCATCACCATGTGCCGCATCATGTTTCTCTCCGGATAGCTAAACTAAAGGTTTCAAGATTGTAGTTCATTTTTCCAGTGTAAAACCAATCTAAAGGGTGTTAAAAGGGTTATAATGAAGCTCATCAGTACTGGAAATTAATCAATGTTGGTAAAGCTCTTGTGTTGGCCAAAGCAATTTTTCTGATAATTGGTGCCTATTGTTTTGTGCCAATTTGCACATGTGGCGATTGGGCGACTTATATTAGATAATGAAAACTTGTATCTATAGCATGAAAGCCATGCATGTAGGGCCTACATTACCATCATAACAGAAAACCATTGCTGGTATATAAATTGCAATGTCAGAGAATACAGGTATCAATGGAAGATGCACAAACAGAGGTCCATGTTTTTTTTAGAGAACACAAGCAATGGATGGTAATGGGCAGGGGTTGGGGGGTTGGGGGGCTTCGACAAAGAGTTATTTAAAGTGAATTGAGGTGAGGGCAGGAACTGAAAGAGAAAGGTATAAGAAGAGCAGCAATGAGATTCAGACAATTAAAACAGAGGGAAAATGAATATAAGAGAATGCACATGTACAAGTACCATAGGGTTTAGAAAGAGGACAATGTCAGCTAGCATCTGGATATAGAAAGATGAGGGAGAACTACTGGAATGGGTTGTCTTGGTATAGTCTGGACACAGCGGGAGTAGACAAGACTAAAAGCAGAGACGTGCGTCTCAATCAAACGCATGCAGCGGGCTGTGAACCATTAAGCATCAGTTCTATTGATCGCATTTTCCCTCTGATCGCATCCACATAAGAGTTGCACTGGTCCGTATGAATAGACAAACATTTTCCACTCTCCTTCTCCATCTCTCTTTCACTCATTCTCCCGCTCTCTCTCCCCGGTGCAGCCAGGCGTTCAGGGTCGATCAGAATCGCCAGGAGCTGTTGGGGGCGGCAGACGCTTAAATGGTGTTATTTATTCTTCTCCTGCTTCAAGGTAGGAAGAAAGAGGAGGCATGGAAATGGAGAAAAAAAATGATGAGAACAGAGAGAAGTGGGAGGAAACACCACCATTCCTTTACGATCAATATCGAAAAGATTTCTGACTGCGTGTTAGCTGCTTCGCCGATTTCATCCACTTCATTTGTGGCGCATGAAACGGCTGCTGCACGATTCTCTATCAGGGGCATTACGTCCGCCTTCCAATTTGTCTCCAATTTGATACAAATGCATTTAAGGGTTCGCGCCATTCCCATCACCCGTGGGAGTGAAACGTCAGGATATAATGCCGCTGAAAAGAGATGGAGATGAAATATGGTGAGAGATACAATTACTATTGTCTGCACTTTACCAAGATTGCACCTTACATGACCATGCCGTATCTCTCACAAATCAATTTTCCCTTGGTTGCCCGAGCCCCATAGTTCATCCTCTCACCTGCAAAAAGCAAGAAGACATTATTCAAAGGCAGAGAAATGTCGAAGGCAACTCTTCTCCGATTCTCGCCTAAAACACCTTTTAATCTTTACTGCTAATCAATCGTCCATGCTTCCAAGGCACATTGCCTGATGGAATTGACTGAATCAACAAACACCTGTCCTTTCGAGCTGAATGAATAATTGATTTTCCTTCCCGTGTTTGATTAAGGACTTATTTCTCATAATCTTGTATGTCTCTCCCCCTTGCCTGAGCATCTTCATCACTTCTTAATGCGCTGATCGACTAAACATGAGTCAACTCCATCATCGATCTCTTCAGAACTGAAGAACAAACCAGCGCTTAAGACCTCCTTCTTGACAGCTTTCAATCGCAGAAATGCATCGTAATAATAGATTGAATTGAATCGTATTGAATCTGAGATGAATCGGGCCTTCTCTGGTTTACGTACGACCCAGGTGGTTTTCAATCTCAGTGAATTTCTCTGCGATCGAACGTCCCCGTTAAAATTCACCAGACAACAATACCTTGTCATCGCTTCTCATCCAAATATAATCCCACTTTATGAACAAGGTCATCATTCATTTTCCACCAAACTACCACCATCAACCTCAGCTGCAATTCAATCAACGACTAAGTGGACACAGAATAAAGAAAGCAACAATATTCCAGAGCCAAATTACCGGTTGTTGAATGAGGAAGAATCACCTGGTATATTAGAGCTCGTCAAATCTGACCTTGCGGCACTGATTCCGCTAGATTCAGAAGAATCACATAATCAATGCCCAAATAACCTAATTGATCAATTTTTGCAAAGCCCCTATTAGTGCACAAATTGCATAATGTGTGGCCAGAGCGAGAGTGGTCAGTTTGATGAATGCGTTGATTACCGAAGGACTATATACCAACAGTAATTGATGATTAGTCCACTATAATTGACTCTCATCCTTGCTCTATAGCTTTTATTTCTTTCAGAAAAAGGACAGAAAAGTGGCAGAAACTGGGCTACAGACACATCATATAGGCCATAATGAGAATCATCATATCTAATGCAGGCCCTCCATATATACTGTGAGTGTTACAGCAAACAATATTTTCATAATCTGAAGTTGTCTTTAAAATCTCTGGATCTGGAATGCACTTGTTTGATACCCTGCCTTGACTGGGGTTATCAGTGAGAAGACGTAACAGAATTAAGAAGAAAAATACAATAATTATAAAATTCAAGCCCATGGATTGGCTAGTACTACTTGCGAGGCATACACTTCCCTGGGTTCCTGACAAGTCTACATTTCATGAAGCAGATATAACACAAATTAAAACACACAAGGACACATTTCCCATCCAGATATCAGACATAGACTCACGCAAACACTATTGAAGACAAAACAAAGAAAGAACTCATCCACACACTAAGAAGCATCAACCTGAACAGAAAATGAACAGAGAAGATGATTTTCTGGAAATTGATCATGAGCACAAACACAGACACAGACTTGTTTGCCTACACAAACAATAACATCTAAAGAAACAATCACAGAACGAACACCTCGTCAGTTGAGAGCCAGAAAGGATTTACCTCCACATAATACGACAATACATGAGTTAATGTCCTCCTTGCTCTAAGCAGATCATATACTGTTGTACTTACATGGGTGTCCTGATCGCTTTCACTGTCACACTGCAAAATAGACAAGAAAAGACAAAATAGTTCAAAATTACCAATTTATTAAAAAAAATAAAGCACCTCAAAAGCTGGTTATGATCGTGACATTCAGTTATTACGACAAGGCAGATGAGGATGAATCATTGCAAATATTGTATTTCTCTGATTATTATTGGCATAGTAAGACTTATATATATTTGCCCCCTGCAAATTTATAAATTTCAATTTGTGTGGCTGGATCAAGCTGTGAAAACAAATATTCTCATTTTTATTTGCATTTTCGATTAGATTGTGAACTCTATTAGAATTGTTTGCTGTCATGGCTAAACACGTCTGGCAAATATATCTCCAGAGATATCAAACTGCATTAGGAATTTATCATTATGAAGTGTGATGTTAACACATTTTCATATACAAGCTTAACACTAAATGTTTGCTCTTTTGGACAGGCATTGTACAAATCACCATGCAGCAATTGGCGTTTTCAGTGTCCACTGCTAAATTTTTTCACATTTTAAGTAGATTTTATCATCGTACAAGAAGGTATTGTCATCAACGTGCAATATCTCATGAGATTTGAGGTGTGTATTCACTTGTATTATCTCCATTTCCTTCATCTGATGTCCATGCAAACCACTGCAATCAATCATTTTATTCATAACGACAACTATCCTGACTTACAAAAGGCATCTCTTCTCATAGGTGATTAACAACACAGCTTTCTTTCACTCTCTCATTCTCTCCTCTTCCTCTTCCCCTCTTCCCCCCCCCCTCTCTCTCTCTCTCTGTCTATCAATCTTTCTCTCTTTCCCTCATCCCCTTCTCTCTTAAGCAATCTATCTTTCATCCAAATCCTACTCCTGTCCTCTCCCATTCACAACCTCCTTCAGAAGATCTTTCTATCTTACTCTTAATTGTTCCTTCATCTCTGGAAACACCACTCTGACCTTGCCTACATGTCATAGGGAGCTAAAGATCCTGTATGTGTCCAAGATACAAAGAAGCTGCACCACTCTGCAGCCTCATTACCATGGCAACAACACCAAGATGACACTCAAGGGTGTGGCAAGGAATTGATTACAAAATGGGTTGGAAGGAGGTAGGGACAGAAAGAACGTGAATGAGGTTCAGGGAGATATGATTTAAGGGGGTGGAGAGCAGCTGTTGGTCGTAGGGGGTAGCATTACACCATCATTTATAGAAGATTCCCTGGCTGTATACCCATCTATGATTTCATTTTTACATTAGTGGGAGTGCCGTCCGGGAATTATAGGAAATTTGAATACCACAAAGGTTTGTTCAGGCACCAAGATAAGTTTAACGTGAGAGAAAGAGTAAGAGAAAGTGAGAGAGAGAGAAAGAGAGAAAGAGAGAAAGAGAGAAAGAGAGAGAGAGAGAGAGAGAGAGAGAGAGAGAGAACGTTAAATGATTATATTTCACCAGATTCATGTAAAGTGGGACAGGGGTAAAAGTACACTTTCATATTGCTGGACAAAAATAGCAGAGCTTACATTTGAAAAGGTACCACACTGCACAATTCCTCTATTAGTGACAGGCATGAAAGGACTGACTGACTTACTTCATAACTAAATAAAACCACTTATGATTTTTAACACAGCAAATTTAATTTTGTGCATGTAATTGTGAAATTTACCATGTAAATCTCATTTGATTTGTAGAGATATGCTCTGCATTACATTTTGACTAATATGACCTTCTGTTTTGAATGCTCTTAATTGATCCAATGGGGCCATATATGTTATACCGTGGCAGGTATTTAATTTCATTCTATTTATCATAATCAATAGAGAACAAGCCTCAACCATGTACACCAAAGAGCAATCGAAACCAAACATTTAGTGCCAACACGTCTGGAGTACGCAAATACTCATTGTGCGGAATTAAACGCAATAAACCCCTGATTAGCTGTCGTAATTTAATCAAAAGCTAATTCAGGCTCGAGAAATAACAGTCTGCTGGAATTAAAGTAAGCCAAATTAACCGGCTGATAAAAGAGTCTGCTCCATGGCCGTACCATTAGCTCATCTTACCAACACAGCATCAATTAAGCCTCCTGCACTCACGCTAAGCAGGGATACAGCAATAACTTGCAGATTAAATCAATTACAACTAAGCCTAATAGGTGAAATTGGAGTTGATTGAATCTTGTTAAGAAATCCCAATATATGATTGGCTGAATAACATGACTTCATAGCCGGCCGGTTGGCTGATTACACTGCAGGAGCAATGTCCCTCCGGTGCATGCATGGTGGTTAATCAATGGGTCAGGAGGGAGAACAATTAAGTCTGCTTTGATACAAAGCTTCCTGTACGTACGGAAGTGGGTGGACTGGTGGTTTGGAGATCTGCGCTTGAACTGGAAGGGCATGGATTCAAACATGAACATTCTAGATGAGCAGAGTAGAGAAACACAATACTGCGCAGGAGTAAAAGCTCAAAAGGGCAAGTTGGCTTTGTGCGGATACATGTCATTCATACTCGATTTTGTAATTTTTGTGAGTGATGCCGTCAACTTAATTAGTATGAGCACAAACTACAGAAGAAGCCAGTGAAAAAGACAAAGTTGGAAATCCAAATCATACTTAATAACAGACACCAAGTTAAAAGTATGCATATTGATATATTTTTCCATAAGCATATCATTTTAGTTGCATATAAAGAGACCTCTCAAAAATATAGAGTGTACTATCATCAGTAGATGTGAATATGTTTATCAGGAACCTGCGCCCCATTTCACAAAACTTGTCATCAGTGACAAATGACAGTTTTTTTTATAAGCTACTGAAACCTTGCTTCTGATTGGTTATCAGCAAAATTGTCACAGATTTTTGTCATTAGTTATTGAAAAAACGCTTTGTGAAACAGGGTATTTAGACACTACTGATTTAATGACTGACTTCTATTTGATTTCTATTTGGAAGGACAAAAATGAACATACATGTATACTCCCAGTTGAGATACAAAGATAAGTTATATCACGATGAAAAAGAGTGTTTTTTCATTACAGACATTACATAACTCTTTATGAAGGACAATTTAAAAAAATGTATTAGCAACTAAGAGTGTGTCAAAGCCAATAACACAAGATGTTGTGCACTCCGAAAGGGTGTTGACTCACTCTACATGGATTGATATGAGAGAACACCCTTCTGGCTCTCAACAGATGACTTATCAAGGTAGACTCATTAATATGCATAGCATTCTCAATGTGGCTATAATCTTCAGAACGAAAGGGGGAAAGAAGAGGGAGAGAGAGAGAGAGAGAGGGGGGGGGGTGGATAAAACCGTTTTGATGCATTCCTAATCTAACGTAGATGCAGCTTGACGGCGCTCCTTTGTCATCTTCCTTTCTTGGAAAGCATCTCTATCCATATGAATTAAGACTAGTAAGAGGGATAGCTAAGGTGGGGAGCTCAGCAGAGATTTGAATATATATTTGCTCGGATTTAAGCCTAAGCTTCCACTGATATCCCCCAGCTTTGGTAGGTACAAGGAATTATCATATTGTGCCTTCTTTTGAGCAGCTTGGTTTTAAAAGAACAATGTAAAGGAAGACATGTTTATCTCTTATTCAACTTACAATGTGCCCTCTATTTTATGCAACATTTCAGGTTATTCATAATAAGCTATTCAATTCTTAAATGATGGAGTCAGTAGAAATGATTTAACTTGTTGGCAATTCATTTAGTAAAAGCATTATTGAGTAAAATATAAGCGATTAATTCTTGTATATCTAATAATGAAGCAAGAAATTAAAAATTGAAATCAGTAGCCAACAAAAACAAAGTCTGCAAATAGAAAATCATTGACATCATCTGCAGAGAGACAGAAGGACTTTTAGAACGCTTTGTCATTTCTGAAGTCCTACAAGGATAATTATAGTGATCACATTCAAAACACATGTTCATCATTATGTGTGATTTATTACATGTTTACTTTGTTAATCTATATTTAGTTCTGAATTCTTTCCCTTGTAACATTTAGAATGCTATATCATTCTGATGTCCTACAAACACAATTTTATCTCATCCAAGCTATATGCATGCTCTTTTCTTCAGCAAGTAATGTTACACAATTTTGACCAAATTATCAGTTTCTATTTCTGAAAATAAATATTACCCTCTGTAAATGAAGCAATCATGCGGTTGCTTGATTGCTAGCAGAGTTATCTCTAAGAAGAAACTGTAGATGACCTTACCAGATAAATATCTCATTCAGCATCCCAGGGTTAACAGCCATTCCATGTTACATCCATTCATCTTCAAGTTATATCCAGTCTTTGCTATTTTTATAGATTCTCTTTCTTCTCTTTGTCAAAACAACAATCTCTTCTATTAATCTCTTATTACCTCAAGTGTCACACAGAGACATGGACAAAAACAAACGAGAACAAAACCAGATCATTTTCAAATCTGAGTGTCCTCGATCGCCACTAAAATTAGTTTAGTATGGTAATACCCAAGGCAAGAGTCCTTCATTCCTCTCCTCCCCTTTATTCACTGGGTAATGCTTAATTTATTGCACTCATATAACGGGATCAAAATTCTAATCATAAAAAAATCACACTCATTAAAGAAAACAAATATTCACCCAAAGTGACAACCAACTCCAATTTTTCTTATCATTTCCAGCTTCCGTAGAAAGAAAAGACAGTAGTAATGAAGTGTTAATGGCATACTTCAAAAAAAAAAATTATGATTAATATGGCATAGTCATTATCATGCAATGATCCAGTCTTCAACAGTATATTCCAGTTTATTTCTACAAACTCACAATTTACGTCTATTCAAGATAGAATTGCAGAATTACCTGGTGAGCTACCAACTTTCATCATTACCATTACCACCTCACGAAAGCAAAGATTTGCATATTACTCAACTGAAGCCAAACAAATACCTCCGATATGGATACCTCTTTTTTCTTCTAAGAGCGGGTAGTTTGATAGTTTTCATGTTTTCCACGGAAGCAAGGATTCATTAGTATTCATAGGGCAT